ATGTACCAGCCTCTTATGCGGTACTGTGTCAAAGGCTTTCCGACAATCCAAGAAATATGGGACTAAATGAGTGATAGTTGCTTTAGGGAGCCTCGAGGGCTCAGCCAGAAATTAGCGTTTCATTACATTCAACGCTGTTGTTATTGTGAGCACCACTGGGTTGTCAAATTTAACAGGTGTGCAGTGCACAGGTTAAACTACATAGCACTGTTTGTTAATTACCATAACTTCTGAATTTATATGGATGAGAAATACCAACTGATAAAACAGCGTTAACAAAGAACTTTTATTTTTTTAGAGTAAACAGGCATTTATGAGCAATGGATCACATCAAACATTGTCAATTTAGTCCACTTAATATTTCTTAGCTTCCATTTTACTAGTGAAGGAAATACAAAGAAATAAAATTTGGTATAGTTAATAGACAATCTAATCAAAATTTTTAAAGATATCTTTAATATAAAAGTATAAAAATAACTTTTAAGCATTTAAAAAGTAAATTATTATAAAATTTTTACCATTTACAAGAACATGTAGAAATAACAATTAAATGTGAATTGCAAAAGGTCATTTTAATTACCAAATGAGTATGCAGAATAAAGTAGCAAATAGTTAATCAGAATGAAATAAAAATGAATGAAATGTAAAATTATCAATTAGCTCCCAGTTGCACTCATTTGTAATTTTCAGTCATGCTGTAGATACACTATTTTTAACACAACAAAAACACCCAAATATTAAAACAAATTAAGTTAAGTAATTACAAGTTAACAAAAAGCCCAGTGCTAATGACAAAACTAAATGTGCTTCATAAATTGATCAACATTTTTGGACTATTTTTTGCTTTCATGAATGAAAGGTAAAATTCATCTCTTAAAAACATGAAAATGCATGTGTAGTAAAAAAATATGTACAAAAATCACAAAGCTCTCCATAAATAAAACAAAGTCATATCACAGTAATACTCCATACAAAAATATGTGCAATTGCATAAATCAAGTACAGCACTAAAATTAACACCATTCCAAGGACCAAACATACATTTGTTAACCATTGGTACAAAAAGAACTAAAACCAGCATTAAATGTAATGAAATGCCAATTTCTGGGTAAGCCCTGGTGGCTCCATGGAGATAACATCACCAGTTTGTGTATTGCCTAACAGGTGCCATCAGTCGTGGAGTTCTCTGGCCTACCAGGGACCACGAGCCAGAACCTAGCCCCATCACAGAGGTGCTGGGAGCAGTGGCATTTATTTTGTATATGCCACCACCAGGAAAAGCACCCAGAAAGTCAGTGAGACAAAACAGATTACTGCTGGCCACTTTCTAAATATACTGATTCAAAAACAGCCATAGAACTCACCCAAATGAAATAAACAAACAACCGAAACATGCTCATTTAACCCCCACCCCCCATTTGGGGGATGGGGTTAGGCAGTCTGCAGCTCCTGGGTAGTGAGCCAGTCAGTTCGACGAATGATATGAAGCACCCAACTTCCTGGGGGAGGGAGCCAGGTGCATATTTAACACCATCAAGGAAGTAACCTGATCACCATAGAAGTGACAATACAAGTGCATCATAAAATTCAAACATGAAGAGCAGAGAAAGTCGAATAAGCGAAAGAATTCATCAGGCCGACAGAGATGCACCCAACTTGTGATGACCTCACAGACACAGGATAAATGCTTGCTCAGGCAGCCCTGAACCTCTAAGAGGGGGAAAAAAACAGTGCCAATGAAGGCAGACCAACATGACCTGAAAGGGACTACAAATCGTAAGACTAGGCATTGGCAAACCTGGCCAACAGTTCCCCCACCGCACCATCAATGGGGCGAACCGCGAAAGTGTTGGCACAAATCCCAGGCCGACGCCTGACGAGCAGAGCAAACACGGTGCCGATTAGCCGCAGACGAAGCAACCTCAGGAAGCATGTGACCCGGCCTCAAACTCTACAGATGGCCTAACTCGACCAAAACCCAGCGAGAGTCCCTACCGAGTGCCTTGCTGAGTAGAGGTAAAGTTCCCTACGCAGAGCGCCTTGAAAGACAAAAGCAACTCCACTGAAGACAAAGAAGATTCCAGATGGGACAAGATGCTGCCCCAGAAGCCAAAAACTGCAAAACTGCCTCCTCCAGAAACAGAAGAGGGGAAAAAGGAGAAACAGACAAACGATGAGGGCACTCGCATTACAGAGAACCCCAACATCCTTTGAGAGCCAATCAAAGTGAAGCTCAAGGAGGCTCAAGGAGGCTCAAATAAGCCTCGACAGCGCCCAAGTGCCGCTAGACCTGAAGGTCACCCACCACCAACAATGACAATAGTGGGGCACCTTAGCATAGAACTGCAGTTGGCCAACATCGCAAGGAACACAGAAGTGAACAAGCAAGAATTAAGGGGCCCAAAATCGAGACCCTCAAAACACTTGCAGCACGTTCCCAACTTTATGGCACTCAAGTGTGCAGGTATGGCAATAACTGTACCAAGACAAGAGAAAGGAAAGGATTGTCTGCTAGCCAGGATGACCCAGGAACCTTGTACAGAACCCAGGAGGAGGAAGACCTGTACTCAAAAGAGGCTGGGTCCATTGCTGGGTCTAATCCAGGTCACACAGGAGGTAAGCAGAGAGAGCTCTACGTGCTTCCAGAAGTGTATATAATCTTCTGTACGCATATAGAATCATGGAGATGGGAGTACAAAAACTCCTCCCCCTGAAGAACAAGACCCTCCACATTAACTGCAAGACAGAATGAAGGGTTAAAAGAGGCCCCAAGGCCCTTTTTTGTACTTGGAGCTGCATGCACACATGAAAGGAGACCCCGGTGTGCATGCAGCTCCAAGTACACACAACGCCTGGCCTACACACACACACAAATGTAAAAGAACAGCCACCAAGGCAAAATCCCAAGAAAACAACAGTGGGGCCAGAGCAGCATGGCAGCCAGACACATCAAAGGAGAACTGACAGGCCCGCATCCTGGGAGCAGCAGACTGCCCACCCCCTTTCCCCAAATGGGGGGGGGGGGGTAGATTAAACGAGTGAGAGCTGGATTAAAATATTTTCGGTCGTTTGTTTAAGGACGATAATTTGGGGGAGTTCTATGGCCATTTTCGAGTTTGTAGGTTGAAGAAGTAGCCAGCTGTGGTCTGTTTTGTCTTGATGACTTTCTGGGTGCCTTCCCTGGTGGTAGCATATATAAAATATATACCACTGCTCCCTGCACCTCTATGAGGGGTCAGGTTTTGGCTCATGGTACTCGACAGGGCAGAGAACTCCACGACTGATGGCACCTGTTAGGCAATAAACACATTGGAGATGTTAGCTCCAGGGAGCCACAAGGGTTTCCCACCCAGAAAACTCTATAAATACAGAAATGGTGACTAGATCAGTTTCTTCATTAGTTCATTGTTGATCAGTTCTATCATAAAGCATGAATTAAACTTCATTGTACTATTTCCAACTACTGTACAGTATTGCAGATCAAGCTGCAGAAAATACAGCATATTTTTGCCAACAGCTGTATCTGGCTAGTTATAACTACATCCTATACAACTACATCCTATATTGATTTTCATGTTAGAATGAACAGCAGTTATAAAAACTTGTTTTCATAATCCAATTACAGAACATCTTAATTTTCTCCATCAATACCCATTTACATGCACATAAACCACATAAGTACTTTTTACTCGTGTGATTTTATAGCAAAGCCAACTATCAGTACATTGCATTCACACATCTCATATCTGACAGGGCATTTGAGTGACCTTATAAGTACTGTAATTACCCAAGTGTAGTTACAAGACAAGAGCAACGCTAATGGTGAATGTAGGAATGTAAAATGTAGGAGTCTTCCCAGCACTGTCATACAACACTTTGAAATTACTGATGGTTTTGGCCTCTGCCACCGTCTCACCTAACTTGTTCCAACCGTCTACCACTCTGTTTGTGAAAGTGAATTTTCTTATATTTCTTTGGCAGCTTTCTTTATTTAGTTAAAATCTATGACCTCTTGTTCTTGAAGTTCATGATCTCAGGAATTCTTCTCTATCGGTTTTATCGATTCCTGTCACTATTTTGTACGTAGTGATCATATTGCCTCTTTTTCTTCTATTTTCTAATTTTGACAAAGTCAGTGCCTCTAACTTCTCCTTGTAGCTCTTGTCCTTCAGTTCAGAGAGCCATTTAGTTGCATGTCTTTGCACCTTTTCCAGTTTGTTGATGTACTGCTTAAGATATGGGCACCATACAACCACTGCACATTCCAGCTTTGGTCTAACAAAAGTCATGAACAATTTCTTCAGTATTTCACCATTCATGTATTTAAAAGTAATTCAGAAATTAGAAAGAGTAGTATGGGCTCCTTGCACAATGTTCTTTATGTGGTCCTGAGGTGATAGTCTTCTTTCTAGAACCACCCCTAAATTTACCTATATCTGAATTGTTTAAAGATTTCTCACATAATTTATAGGTTGTGTGGAGTCTATGTTCTCCTTTTCCACATTTCATAACATGTCGTTTATTCACATTAAATTCCATTTGCCAAGTGGTGCTCTATACACTTATTTTGTCCAGGTCTTCTTGAAGGGCATAACAATCATCTAAGTTTCTTATCTTCCCTATTATCTAAGCATCATTAGCAAACATGTTCATATAATTCTGTATTCCATCTAGTAGATCGTTTCTGTAGACAATGAACATCACCAGTGCAAGAACTGAACCCTGTGGTACTCCACTCATGACATTTCTCCAGACCGATACATTGCCTCTGATTATTTCCCTCATTTTTCTGTCAGTTATAACATTTTTCATCCATGTTAGAAGCCTACCTAACACTCCTTCAATATGTTCCAGTTTCCAGAACAACCTCTTGTGTGGAACTCTGTTGAAAGCCTTTTTAAGGTCCACAGAGATGCAGTCAACCCAACCATCTCTTTCCTGTAAAATCTCTGTAGCTCGATCATAGAAACTGAGTAAATTCATTACACAGGATATTCCAAATCGAAAACCATACTGTCTGTTATATTGTTTTTCTCCAGGTGTTCTACCCATTTAGTTTGTATTATTTTTTTCCAATATTTTGACTATTACACTTGTCAATGATACAGGTCTATAATTGAGGGAATCTTCCATGCTGCCATTTTTGTAGACTGGAACTAGGTTAGCCTTTTACCACACATCTGCTAGGACTCCATACACAAGGATGCCTGAAAATTCAGTTGAAGTGGAATGCTGAGCTTAGGTGCGCATTCTCTCAGAACTCATGGTGAAACTCCATTTGGGCCAACTGCTTTGTTCTTAGCTCCTTGATGATGTTTTCCACTTCTTCTCTAGACACCTCTATGTGCTTAATGTTGTTCTCTGGAATTCTTATTATGTCTGGATCTCTAAAGATTTAATTTTGCACAAACACACTTTGGAACTTTTCATTTAATGTTTCACACATTTACTTCTCATTTTCTGTGATTTTGTTTCCCATTTTGAACCTCTGAATATTATCTTTTACCTGCAATTTGCTGTTGATGAATTTATAGAATAAGCCTGTTATTGTTTTACATTTGTCCACTATTCCTTTCTCAAAATTTCTTTCTGCCTCTCTCCTTACTGCCGTGTAGTTGTTTCTTGCTTCTTTTTATTGCTGGTATGTTTGGGGGTTTGACCTCTTGCTATATTGATTCCATCTTTGTGTCTTTTGGCCTCTAGCCCTCTCAATTTCTGTTGAACTAATCCCATCTCCTAGTTCTGCATCTCTGCTTTGGTATAAATTTTATTGTGTCTTTATCATATATTTAACAAAACTTGACATTCATCTCATTTACTTCCTTGCCTAACAGCAAGTCTTTCCAGTCAAATTCTTTAAAGACATTTCAAAGTTTTCCATAGTGTCTTTTCCTGAAATCAAGTTTTTAAACCCCAACTTCATTTATTTCCAGAATGAAAATATTTGCATTCCATCCCATTCCATTAAAAACCTTCACTAAAAGTTCTAAGACTCCACTGCACCAAAGTCATTTAAAAATTTCTTCAAATTTCAGAATTGCAGCAAAGCCTAAAAAAGAACTATAAATTTCATTTGGACAAGTGCACTCTTATAATTATCACCTTATGCCAGGTGGGAGAGCATGTAATCCATCACCAATACGTTCTGGTAACAAAATCTCAACCCTGTCAGATACAACATACTGTTGTCCAAAATGTGTTAGTATTGTGTTCTAACTTTAATTTTATTCAAATACCATTAGTGATATTAATATCCTAATTTCTCAATGTATTTACTACTACTACTACACAAACTTCAAAAACTTCTAAGAAAACTTTTCAACCTTCACTAGCCTACTAGTTGCTATCTCCAGTAACCTGTGTTTTAGGAATTAATCTATAATGTTGCAGAGCACTCAATGACTTGCCAGTCCTAAAGCATGACCTAGTGTCAAACTATAAATTCATAATATTAAATAATGTTCAATAAACAAAACTAACAATCCCTTCATTTCTGTTTTCGCCTCAAAACTCCTTCAGGGCATTTTTCTGTTTATTTTTATTCCAAGCCATTTCTTTATACAAAGTTTAACCCACCTCTGAGCCTTTTTCATCCTTGGTTGACTTGTGTATACATAAAACATATTCCATATTTTAATTAAAAATAAAATTTATCAACTTGCATACTCATACTTTACAATATCTTGACCATCTCCACATCTAAGATCAGAGCCGTTATACACCGATATGAAACTAACATTGTTGTAAACTTCCAGTTCTTTGCATGCCTTGTCATTCTTCATCTTTTCATCAGTAGCAACAAAATGCATTTTTATAATTTAAGTTCACTTTTAAATTCTTTACTTAATTCTGATTTCATGACTCCATTGCCATGCTACTTTTGGATTAGCTACTGTGCCAGCAAAAAGCAATTTTACATCACTAGCATATAATAAGAACTTTGAATGCTCTGGACATGAGAGATTTAAATTTTCTGCTTCCATCACTATATCTAGTTCATGAAATGTTGAACAAAAATTTGCAGCTAGCAATACTATGCCTGATTTGTAGTTATGTATGACTGTGAAAAGACAGGGACTTTGACTTGGATATGCGATATCTATTCGGGGCTTAATGCCTAGAAGTGGACTTGTGAGGAAGTCAACCATTTGTGCATTGGAATTAAAATTTGTACTCTTTATAAAAAAGTTAAATTCTGGGATCAGGTTACCCAAAAGCAGAGACTTTAGAAATCCAGTATTCTGATTCTGATTTTTAATGTTACAAATGCATAATTTCAGTTCAACACTATCATCCTGACAGCTACTATAAATTGAATACATGTTCATACGTTCATAGGATACTAGATGCAATGGTGCTTTCTTTGATCCCACCTCCAATGTCAAGAAAAATAACTCATTGTCTTCACTGTCATTTTGTACACTTTGTACAACAATATCTAACTTATACCGAATCAATTCTACTGATACACGTGTCTCACGGACTTTTCTTAACTTAACAGCTCTAAGAGGCCTACAATTTCCAAAACCAACAGCCCCCCCATTTCGGTTTTGCTTTAAAATCAGGTTGTTTAAGACTCCAAGTCCAAAGTCTGCTAGTGCCAAATGAACCTGAGCAGGTTCTACTGATGTCTCAAAATTTTTGCATATGCACAAGTTTGGATGCAATAGAGGAACATCATTGCAAGTCCTAGTTGGAGAGAGGCTGGTCAGAAATCCACCAGGTGTTACATATCTTTCAACAAAATTTTTGTCAGAAACTTTACTCTTTTCACCAATTAATTGCAGAAGCATGTTATGCAAGTCAATCATACTAGATAATCGTCTCTCATTATCTCTTAAAATTCTTATTTGAACATCTCCCAAGAGATCTTGCACATCTTTTGGAATAATCATAAATAAAAATGGATTAAATGTTTCAACATGTGCTTCAGGACTTAACTGAATAAACTTACCATACGTGTTTCCATGATCTGAAAAAAGAATAGTTAGGGTATTTTTTAACTTTGCAGCAAACTTCAAATACTTGGCAAGAGGATCATCCAAAGTTTGCACCCGTAAGCCAGTTTCATCATGAGCAACATCAGTGACGGTGAAAGTTAAAAAAGGCTGGCCAAAATTTTGGATGGCTTCTTGATATAACTGAAGGTATTCAAGCATGTATTCATGATGATGTTTGCCATTAAAGCACACAGCAGGTAGATTATGAAAAGGATCCTTCTTACCATTAGACTGAAGAATATCACAGCTAGCCAGTGTTAGATCAATGTCATCAATACTTGCATGAGCAAGTGCTTTTTTAAATTTTTTCCATAAAACTGGACCATAGAGAGTGTCATTAACAACTTTCAGGTCCTTAACTAAGCCCCATTCCCAGTTCCAACATAAATCCTCGAGCCAGAGTGTCCTATATCCCTTTTTCTTAAAAAGTCCAAACAATTTTGATACTGGTAATGGGTATCGGGGAACATCATATGTACCAAAAGGAGTCTCTGAAACATTTACATAACCTGAGAAAAGTGCCTGAAGGCTTTCATATGTTCTCTGTTTCACTGCTTGGAAAAACTGAAAATCAAACACTTTAGGTTGAGAATTCCCATATAGACCCTCAAAAAGTCCAACTGTCTTTGGTAATGACCTGTAAAAGTGAGCGCGTGATAAAGAATCTACCATAACAAAATTTATATTAAAATTATTAGTTTTCATCATATGTCTAAGTGCAATATTTTTAAATTTCCAAGGATAAAGAAAAAGTTGAGTGTATGATTCAGAATTTTCACGAGCATAGTCTTCGTCATATTGAGGTTGTCCCAAGTCTTCTGCTGGCTCAGAAGTATTGGAACATCTTATGAAAACAAAACCAAAGTGCACCTCTTGATGAACTTGAGATATAACTGCCTTTTCCAAATTTTTTCGTTGGATTTGTTGCCATTTAATTTCTGCTGCCTCATCATTAAAAACACCAATGTAATGATTTAAATTTCTACACTGCGGAGGAGATCTGCACGATATACTCCTGAATTTCTGAAATGAAATGGACATAATTTGCATAATCATTCTTGCCTCTTAAAATCTTTAAGAAATTAAAAATATTGCTTTAATCATGGTTACAATTTAACATCGCTTCCTTACTCTAAATCAAATTCTATTCTTTCTTTATTACATGTAGCAGATCTATTACTGTTGTACAAAAAGTAAGATGCAAAGGTAAGATATTTGTACAGGAATATTATTCATATCCTATTTCCAAACTTCCATGTGGTGTTGAAATATCAGCTTGAAGGAAAAAAGGGGAGCAATATAGTGATATTTTATTACCATGGCATTTATAACCTATCACTACTTATAAATTATCTAAAGTTCATAAATTATATTATTCACACTATACAGGCATCAAAGACAAACCAAGCACCACCACACTCAGTCATCCACAGCAGCAACCCACTGCTTCATAAAGCTAGGTGCACAGTACTACTAATAAATTTCATGTACTGCACAGTACACACAAATACATTCCACCCAATCTTGTCCTTGCTATATCATGTGTGGTGTTCACACTCGCGTCTTATTTTCTCACATTCACTATGTCCACCTTCCCGGCCATCCTACTACTCTCCGATTTATCAAATTCACCCAGTCCATCAGTATATCACCGTTGGGGCTTTCTAACGCAAGATCCAATTTGTACCAAGGATAGAATCATGATCAAGGTAGGTTAACATTCTGCACCAGTGCAACAGGGAGTCTTCCGAATGTCCCTTCCGAACACTGAAGAATGCTCAATCCAACATGGAACGACCCTAAGAGCCTTAGCACACAAAAACCACAAAGTATTGCACTTGGTACTTTAGCCCCTAAGCTTTATTTTCTTTCTTATGCTGCCATCTCTTTTGTCACTATTTCATCTTGTTCTCTTTTGGCCTACTGCAGTTTTCATTATTCTTGTACAGTGGTACCTCAGTTTACAAATGCCCCTCTTTATGAACTTTTCGGGTTACGAGCCCAATTTCTTTGGAAAATTTGAATCCGGTTATGAACTTTACCTAGAGAAACGAGTTTGTTGATACACGTATCGCCAACCTAGGGCATGGTGACACAGCGATCGCGCCTCAGTTTCCAAGTGCCTCCCACCTAGTGGCTATTACGCCGGAATTCTTTGCAAAGATTTACAGTTTTTTCGGATTTTTGGCTATTTGAACATAAAATTTGTTATTATATATCTCGCCATGGGTCCCAAGAAAGCCAGTGGTAAGGTTCAAGCCAAAAAAACACATGTGAGAATGACCATAGAGGGAAAAGCAAAAGATCATTCGTAAACATGAAAATGGTACACAGGTTGTTGAACTAGCTAGGCAGTACAATAAATCTATGTCAATGATATGCACTGTAATTGCTAAGAAAAAGGACATTATGAGAGCTAAAGTGACATCAACAATCACGAAACAAAAAACACAAACACTTGAGGATGTTGAAAAGTTATTATTAATTCACCCAGAGCAAGCTGTAGTAGGCCGTTGTGTTAACCTTTTTAATGACAATGTGATGTCTCACTTCAGACAAGTGTTACAAAGTAGGGAAAAACAAGTGTCATTAGACATGTTTTTAGTGAGAAAAACAAGCAGTGAGCCACAAGCAGGTCCTAGTGGTATGCAGACAAAACATGCCAGAGAGTGTACCCTAGAGAAGTCATCACTGCCTTATGCTTAGAAAAAAAAATTGAAAACATTTTAAAGCAAAAATGTCAAAAAGGTTCGTTTAGTGTATGTCAGGTAGGCTCCTCCATTTTCTATAAAAAATACAAAAAAATTAAAAAATCCAAATAATTGAAAAAAATGAAAAAAAGAAAAATGTTAAAAAGGTTCGTTCAGTGTGTGTCAGGTAAGCTGTTCCATTTTCTATAAAAAAAAATAAAAAAAATAAAAAATAAAATAAAAAAATGTAAAAAAGGTTTGTTCAGTGTGTGTCAGGTAGGCTGCTCCATTTTCTAAAAAAAAAAAAAAAAATTGAAATTGAAAAAAAAAAAAAAAAAAATGTCAAAAGGTTCCTTCAGTGTGTCAGGCAGTTATAATCACTGCCTGATGTCATAATGGAAGGAGACCCCTTCCAAACACTAACACCTCTTCTCCCCCCCTCCTCACCGTCTTCCATACACCAACAAGAGTCATCAATAATGATTAGTAGTAACTTATACATACTTTAGTACTGAAGATTTGGGTGAATTAGGTATAAAATTTACTTTTAAGTTAATTTTTTGGGAAGTCAGGAATGGATTAATTCATTTCCCATTACAGTATTTCTTATGGGGAAATTCGCTTCGGTTTACGAATTTTTGGGTTACAAACCGTCTCTAGGAACGGATTAAATTCGTAGGCTGAGGTAAGACTGTACTTCAAACTTATTCCCACACTTTTACTCTATGCCCACACCTCAACCCTATGCCCACACCTCAACCCTATGACCACACCCCAACCCTATGACCACACCCCAACCCTATGACCACATCTTAACCCTATGCCCACACTGCATGACAGTTGTGACATCATGCTCATTTGCTCATTTTTCATTTGGGGGAGTTCTGTCCAACAGTTCAGCTTTCAGTAGCAATAATTGAACCAGATAGAGTTTGTTTTGGGGCGCCTATCTTTCTGGGTGCCTGGTTACCTTACCTTGTGGTTACCTTGTGTGTTTCGGGGCTTAGCGTCTCCATGGCCCGGTCATCGCCCAGGCAACCTCATTGCTGGACTGGTCATCCAAGCTGTTCGACAGAGCTGCTTGCAGCCTGACGTATGAGTCAAGCCTGGTTAATCAGGTATTCTTTGGAGGTGTTTATCGAGCTCTCTCTTTTGAATACTGTGAGGGGTCAGCCAGTTATACCCCTTATGTGTAGTGGAAGCATGTCGAACAATCTCGGGCCAATGATGTTGATAGAGTTCTCTCTCAGGGTACCTATTGCACCTCTGCTTTTCAACGGGGGTATTCTGCACATCCTCCCATGCCTTCTGGTCTCATGTGGTGTTATTTCTGTGTGCAGGTTTGGGACCAGCCCCTCTATTATTTTCCACGTGTAAATTTTTATGCATCTCTCCCGCCTGCGCTCAAAAGAATACAGATTTAGGCATTTTAGTCAGTCCCAATAGTTTAGATGTTTTACCTAGTGGATTCTAGCAGTTTTTTTTTTATTAGCAGTAAAAGGACTCTGCATGCTCTCCAGGTCAGCATTTTCTCCAGCTTTGAAAATGGCTGTCATTGTGCAACAATATTCCAATTTAGAAAGCACTAGCATCTTGAAGAGTATCATCATTGGTTTAGCATCTCTAGTTTGAAAAGTTCTCATTATCCAACCTGTCATTTTTCTTGCAGTTGTGATGGCTACTTTACTGAGTTCTTTAAAGGTAAGGTCTTCTGACATGAGTACACCCAAATCTTTTACATTGCTTTTTCGTTCTATGTTATGATTTTACTGCTTTTTGTACGTGGTTTCTGTTTTAATATTTTAATTTTTTTCCGTAGCACAAGAGCTGGAACTTATCTTCATTAAATACCATATTATTTTCTGTAGCCCATTGAAAGACCTGATTTACATCTGATTGGAGGTTTGCTGTGTTCTTTATATTGTCTACTCTCATAAAAATCCTAGAGCAAAGGATGATACAGTGCTATAGATTGTGTCCTTGTCTATGTCCAATATGAGAATGAGAAAGAGTACTGGAGCAAGCACAGTACCCTGGGGGACCGAGTTCTTCACGGTTAATGGTCCGGATTTTATTTTGTTGACAATTACACATTGAGTTCCGTTAGTCAGGAAACTGTAGATACATCCGCCTATTTTCCCAGTAATCCCTTTTGCATGCACTTTGTGTGCAATAATACCATGGTCAGATTTGTCGAAGGCTTTTGCGAAATCTATGTAAATTACATCAGCATTTTGCTTGTCTTCCATTGCATGTAAGTTCATGTCATAGTGGTCCAGCAACTGTGATAGGTCCAGTAACTCTGATAGGGAAGAGAGCCCTGTTCTGAAACCATGTTGTCCAGGATTATGGAAATGCTGTGATTCTATGTATTTTGTGATAACCAAAATAACCAAAATGCTGAAAACCAGAAGCCAGAAGCTGAGCTACCCAATGTATCCAGCTCATTGGGGGCAAGGGGCCAAAACAACCCCCTCACTCTCAGGTCAGGCAATGAACCACTGTGAGCAGTCAAAGTAAAGCTGGAGCCTGGAATAAGTCAAATCCTCCTCAGGGCATGCCACACAGCTGCAAACTCTCACACTGAGCTGTGTGCCCAAGCAAATGGGACTGACTAGCAAATCTGGGTGGCCTGATGAGTGCTGGTTACAAGCCCTAGCCCAGAGACAAGAAGTCCGTAAACAGATTAAGTGATGGGGAAGGATGGCACCAAGGAACTGAACCACAAAAAGATCAAAGGGGAGGCTGGTAAATGAAAAACCAACAAAGGGTAGGTGGGGCCCAAACTCGTTAGTGCTGGGAGGATGAACCTGAGACTTCATACTGTGCCCAATAACCAAAGACAGCCCTGTATTTGAAAGAGGCTGGGTCCATCATGGGAAAAAAAAAAGGAGGACCGTGTTCCGCAGGAGGTACCAAAGCAAATCCGCATGAACCACAGAAAGCGTAGTGCAAGAAAATGGAAACATCCGGAAATATGACGACTCCAAGGTACATAACAGAACTTGGAATCAAATCAGAGTGGGGAGCAGCTGAGTATTCCAACTCATACATGGAGGGAGGATAAGAAAAATGAAGACCCCTCCTTCAGTAAAAAACCCTCTGCAGAGAGGACCAAAGTCCACAAAGAATTGAAAAATACCCATGGACATTCCTTGGGTTCCCCCCACTCAAACTCCAGAAGCCTGTAATGAAGGCTTTGGGACATGTCCTTGTCTAACACCCAAGACAGGAAGATATCTTCCCAAAGAGAATGCTTGGAGTAGGGAGGCTGTTGTGAAGACGAATGCCCCAAAACCATGGCAATACTAAACTAATACTAAAACACAGAAA